GTCCAAGATTGAAGGCAACATCCACAAAAGAAATCCAAGGAGAAAAGAGTTGTTCTTGAGGTAAGAACACAAGTATTATCTTTTAACTAGTATTATTTTGTATGATTTTTAAGAAATCATATGGTGGATTAAACATGAAGTTCTACACGTTTAAAAGTGGAGAATAATGTTATAAAGTGGTGGTATTTAACTTAGAAGAGTTGGTGAATCGATAGGAGTCGGAATCGCCGGAAACCGCCACTTGTAGGGAGCTGTTCGTAGCTGCAGACCACGAAAGCCGCCCACCTTTGGCAAAAGCCGCCCGGCTTTCGTCTGCTGGTCAGATTTTCCACTTCCAATCGGTTTAGAACGGGGATTGATCGAAAGGCTTAACAAAGGCAACTATTTCAGCACTTCATAAGGTGAGGATGACTGACTATATTGCTTATAATCTTTGGGTTAATTTCATGAGATTACCTAAGGTAATTAAATATGTTTTTAAGGATTATTAATGATTAATAATGCCTAAGAATGAGAAGACTATTGTCTATAAGGAAAGGAGCATAATATACAAATTTGTAAGAGATTGTGTATGATTATGTGATATGAAAGAAATGGTATGGTAATGGAATTAACTATGAAAATTGTGATAAAATATACTTTTACTTCATGTATGAAATTCATGAATGGATAAAAGTGATATTTTTGATATTGGGATTAAATCATATTTGGATTGGAAAATCAATTGAGATAAACTATTTGGTTATGAATTTAGAACTTGGTTGTTCTAAGGTTATTCGACTAGTATCGAAATACTAGTCGGGAGATTTATATAAATAAATGATGGAATTAATCCTAAGGGATAGGATTGTGAATAGATATGCCTTAAGTAGTCTTAAGAGATGCTTTAAGGTCGAATTGTATGAACACTAAGGTGTGTTAGGGGTAGGCCTAAAGGCTATCCAAGTGAATTGATTCTAGGCATAAGATTTGCTTGAGAATTGAGCTATGAAAATAAATTGGAGTCGGACTCTAGGATTACATGGAAATGTAGTTGGGCCGAGCCCTTGCCATGTAACGTGATTGGCATGGAAACGTAGTTGGGCCGAGCCCTTGCCATGCATTGTGATCTTCATGGAAACGTAGTTGGGCCGAGCCCTTGCCATGAAGTTATGGTTGGTATGGAAACGTAGTTGGGCCGAGCCCTTGCCAAAGGATATATTAAATTGAGATATATTAAATTGAGTTAAAGGATTGTATAGAAATTGTATATATACATACATACCAACCATACCAACTATGTATGTATGTATGTATGTATGTATGTATGTATGTGTATGTATACATACATACATACATACATACATACATACATACATACACACACACACACACACACACACACACACACACACACACACACACACACACACACACACATACATACATACATACATACATACATACATACATACATACATACATACATACATACATACATACATACATACATACATACATACATACATACATACATACATACATACATACATACATACATACATACATACATACATACATACATACATACATACATACATACATACATACATACATACATACATACATACATACATACATACATACATACATACATACATACATAGTTGGTATGGTTGGTATACAAATTTAGATATATTAAATTGAGTTAAAGGATTGTATAGAAATGTAGTTGGGCCGAGCCCTTGCTATACAATCGGGACTCGAGGGAACCCTATGGGGTTGTCGTGACTCATGGTCACGGAAAGTGAAAATGGTAAATTCTAAATGAATATGGGCCCACGGGCCGACTACTTGACTTTATATAAAGTAAGTATATTTATAAAACAGGGTAACCGGGGGTTACGGCCTACGATATAATATCACTCTATTTGAGGGTCTTAAGAAATTGAAACATTGATTATACTTAGTATAGTTGTCATTGTACTTGTCAAATGCTTCCAAGTACTGACCTCCCCTTCACGGGGGAGGCCACCTCACAGTTTCAGGTAGAACTTGAAGAGTTGCTGCCACCCCCCGTTGCTTCGGGGAGATCAAGGGAAGAAGACGTGGTTCGTGCTTCTTCCGTTTCTGTTTTGAAAACAATCTAAATAATGCTCATGGATATTATTTTTGAATAATCATTTGGGGGCTTGTATGCCCATGTTTGCCGAGTGTGGCATAAACACTTGTATTAAATGTTTCCGCTGCTTAAATGAATATTTTACATTATGCTTGTTTATGGATGTACTATGTGTGAATGGTATTCAAGACGCCTTGTATAGTATGGATGAGTTGGACTGCGGTTGACTATTCGTACTGTACGGCGGGTTGTTGACGTGTCCGGATAGGTCCGGGGCGTGACATTTTTAATCCCTTTGAGCCAAGGGATTTTTCCTCGTTAAATTCTTGTGCACTTTACTATTTCGCAATTCCCTTTATCCCACACTAGAACTCGGCGAAAAACTGCCACGGTTCCACACACACACAATTCACCTCCCCCTCTTGTGTTGCTAACCGTTTTCATCACTACTCTTCTATATTCACACACACTATCCACTCGAAATCCATTGGTTACGTGTTGGATCTACGGGTTGAAGAAATAAACTCAACAAATAGTTTGTAGCTTTAGTAATTTTTTAGACAAAGCAACAAAAAGTTAAAAAGTATACCTTGGATATTTGGAATGCATTTAACATTGGAGTATACTCGTATATTTAAGAGAGTTTGAAAATATATTTCATAAAAAATTGTGACCCCAGAGAGTAAAGTTCTAGGATAGTGCAGTCCCAATTTTGTAGTTACCTCATACCCTCATCGATCTACTAAAGATTTCTGAATCAGCCTTCCATTATAGGGAAGGAGTTTACAGACACGAGCTAAGATAATGACAAGAAGACACAAAAATGTACATTGCAAAAGGCATAGGCAGGCCATAAATTATACAAGTACGTACGTAGAGCGATATGTATGCAACTGTTTAGTCCAGAAAAAGATTTACATTTAGAATTTCGATGTTACCGACGCATTAATAGTGTTCTCTGTTGTGTTTGGCATCGAGATGTGAGTCGGTCAAACGTAAATTGTAGCCACAGTAACAACAAAGCGTGATTTATTTCTTTTCAAACAGTGCAGTCAGTAGTAAAGTATTCATTCTGCATTTCCCGTTACACACCAACCCCACAACTACCCGTAGTATCCACCATAAAAATGTTACCATTGAAAATATATCTATGGAGTAGTTGGTTGGAGTTTGATTGGAGTACACAAAATTTGTCTGTCTTTCAAAATAAAGTGTCTGTGACAGACAAATTTTCTCTGAATGACAGACATGTGTACACATTTTGTATACACATTTTGTGTACCAAAAGCATTTTCCATAGTTGGTTAATTTCATTTAGACTTCAAGTGAAGTTCCTAACTTAAGTCCCTTCCATAATCATGAAATTAAGTATAATTGGTCAATAAAAAAAGTTTAATTGGGTTTACTTTTCTAACCGAAAAGACAAAATTTAATATAGAGAAAGATTTTACAAGTAGTTATTTATATAATTTAAGATGTACTCTATCGATAAAAATATACTCCGATTCAAAAATATTTGACACACTTTTCTTTTTTGGATGTTTCAAAATCAATGTCACACTTTCTTATTTTCTCATTTGGTAAACAAATCTATTTCAATACAGTACAAAACAGTGCAAAACAATGTCAAACTGTGTACTCTACATGAAAATTTATCTCTCATGAACTTTTTTTCCTTAATCTTTGTGAAATCAAAGTGTGTCAAAGATTTTGAAACGAAGGGAGTATTAGAACAGTTTTTTCATAATTTAGTCGTTTCATTCAGAATTTCATCAATTTCAACAAATTTAATATATACAACTGATTTTAGTGTTACCAAACGGGTAAAACAGATTTAATATATACAAACATTTTTGAGTGTTGACATGATATAAAGTAAAATTATATGGTTAATATTTGTGCATAGAAGATCAGAATAATAGAAACCTCATAGTGATTGGGTAAGATAGGAAGTGACAAAGTTGTGGGGACTATACATGAAAATTTATCATGCGGATTGTTAAAATCTGTGAGGCTCAATAGAATGTCATGTGGATTGTTAAAATCTCTTGGATTCATCTAGAGTCGTTTGTTACAATCCCAATCTGTTCGATGATACATAATGACCAATCTGCTCGATGATACATAATGATCCGATTTAGCACTGGTTAAACTTCACACGATTGTGAAATCGATTGATTCCTTCAATGTGAAACTTCCAAAAACAACTCTTCCTATAACTTTAACTAAAAAGATGGTGTGAAATGTGTGTACAATATGAGTAGTTGTAATACCCCTCCCGTTTACCTAATAACATTTACTCCTCATGACCAAAAAGAAAAAAAGAATTCAGTCACATATAATAAACCGATAAACTCTCCTCTTTATATACTACAAAAGACCAGATGTGATCAAATTAAGCCAAACTTCAACAATGGTAAAATATGTATAGAACAAACATATACTAAACCACATAGTTCGGATTGAACCATATCATAAAATTACATTCCAATTAAAAAGTCTTTAGTGATAGGCCGATGGTCGTCCAAGACGGATTCATGTTGTTTTTGTATTAAGAAAAATAAGGCAAACGTACAACTACTCTCTGAGTAGAGAGTGATATACTCCGTATCTATGTGCATTGGTATCTATCTCCTACGAATATCCGAATACGTAGTGTGTTCCACAATCATTGAATCTTGTATAGCAGTAATATATCAAGTAAATTGAATCATAATGTTGATTCTTTCTGAGGTGTCTAAAAAAGAAAATGAATTTACAGTTTATCAAGGAGTTCAAAATAATGAAAAGAAAGAGCTGAAGGACTAAATTGCAAATACTTATTTCTTATTATTTTTACTTTAATATTACATCATATAAATAGTGTAAATATAAGACCTAATAAGAATATATCGATTCTTCCTGATCTTACAATCTGTACACTTGCTATCTTTCTCTCTGAATCAAGGAAATACTCCTTTGATCTTCAATTTTCTGTAAAAGTTTACATGGTATCAGTTTAGCTTCAGATTCGATCGTTTCTTCCGCTCATCTGAATTCTCTTTCCGTTTTTGATCGCTAAATTCGTGAAGATGCCGGATAATCAGAATCTCACCGAAGATCCTTCGTCACCATATTATCTGCATCCAGCCGATCACTCAGGCGTTAGGATCATCTACGAAATGTTTAACGGTGACAATTACAATGCTTGGCAGAAATCTGTTGTTATGGCTTTTACGGTCAAAAACAAGATGGCGTTTATTGATGGAACCATATCTCAGCCTTCATCTGATGATCCTCTCTACTTGGCTTGGTATCGGGTAAATGCGCTCCTTCTATCTTGGCTTGTTTACTCGATTATACCTGAAATTCGTACTACTTTTCTCTACTTTACCGTGGCTAAAGATGTCTGGGAAGAAGTTAAGCTTCGATATGGAAAGAGCGATGGACCTCATGTTTTTCAGCTTGAAAAATCTTTGACTAATCTGTCTCAAGGTTCTCAATCTCTTACTGCTTTCTATAACTTTTTCAAAACTCTATGGGATGAATACTGCAATTATAGGACTCCTCATGTCTGTAAATGCGGTAATTGTACTTGCAATCTCAATGAACTTTATCAAGAACTTTTACAGAGAGACTCTGTCTATAAATTTCTCATTGGACTCAATGAATCTTACAATGTCTTGAGAAGTCAGATCTTGTTAAAAATTCCTATTCCAAAATTGTCTACTGTCTATTCTCTTCTTCTTCAAGAAGAATCTCAGCGTTCTTTACATAATCCTACTGAATCTGTAGCAATGCTTTCTCAACATATTCCTAATACTCAATCTCAATCCATTGCTACATCATCCAATACTGAATCTCTTGCTTTCATTGCCAAATCTAATCCAAAGAAAAAGTATACTGGCATTTGCTCTCATTGTGGTTTTCAAGGCCACTCCTCTGAACGTTGTTACCAATTGATTGGTTATCCTGCTAATTGGAAAGGTCCTAAGGGTCAAAGATTTGCCCCTGGCTTCAAACCTTCATCTACAAATGCTAACAAATCATCTCAGGCACATTTGGCATCTACTTCAACTGATAGTCCTGACTTAGACCTATGCAATCCAGAACTCTACAATCTGTTTCTTCAGTTCATGAAGAATCAATCATCTCTTTCTAGTTCTGCTCATGCTGCCATGACCATGTCTCAATCTCCTGGTCCTCAACAATCTTCATCTCCTGATAACAATGCTTTCAAAGGTATATATTCAGCTTCTAACTGGATCATTGATACTGGCGCTTCTGATCATATGATTAATAATCTAAGTATGTATACTTCTAAGCCAAAATCTATTTCTGTTAACATTCAATTACCTACTGGTAATATTACTATTGCTACTCACATAGGAGATGTTCAATTAAATAATGATCTAACTTTACATAATGTTTTGTATGTTCCCAGTTTTAATTATAATCTTATCTCTGTATCAAGTCTTACTTTACATGAACAATTATCTGTTAATTTCTCTTCTAACTATGGTGTGTTACAGGACCAAAGTACACAGAAAATCATTGGTTATGCTGAAATAAAAAATGGACTCTATCAGTTACATCTTCCTAATCATACTGCTTCTGCACAGTCTGCCATTACTGCTCCACACAGTGATCCTGTCATTTGGCACTTTAGACTTGGCCACACTCCTTTTAATAAACTGAGTTCTTTTCCTATTTCTTTTGACAATAAATCTTGTAATAACATCACACCTTGTGATATTTGCCACTTTTCCAAGCAAAAGAAACTTTCTTTTACTGATAGTACTTCTCATGCCATTGCTTCTTTTGACTTGGTTCATATGGATATCTGGGGTCCCTTTAGTACTGCTTCCTATTCTGGTTTTAAGTATTTCTTAACCATTGTTGATGATCACACTAGATGTACATGGACTTTTATGATGAAGACTAAGTCTGAAACTCGTTTTCATATAATGAACTTCTACAAACTTATTCAAACTCAATTTGATAAGAAAATTAAAATCATAAGAACCGATAATGGTGCTGAATTTATGTTTTCCAGTTTTTATCAGTCCAATGGAATTATTCATCAACTTTCTTGCGTTGAAACTCCTCAACAAAATGGTAGAGTAGAAAGAAAGCATCAACATATCCTCCAGATTGCTAGATCTCTTCTTTTTCAGTCTTGTTTGCCTATTACTTTTTGGTCTGATTGTGTTTTATCTGCTGTTCATATAATAAATAGAACTCCTACTGCTATTTTAGATAATAAAAGTCCTTTTGAACTTCTGTATAACACTATACCTGATTATTCTCATCTCAAAGTGTTTGGTTGTTTAGCTTATGCATCTACCCTAACTGCCAATAGAAATAAATTTGATCCTAGAGCATCAAAGTGTGTTTTCATTGGTTATCCTTTTGGCTATAAAGGTTACAAATTATATGACTTAAACACACATAAAATCTTTGTTTCTAGACATGTTCAATTTTATGAGAATATTTTTCCATACAAGGATATTTTACAAAAATCCTATAATTCTTCAAATAATGATAATACTTCTACTGATAATCATACTGTATCTACTGACCAGTCATATGCTACTTCAACTCAGGTAAACTCTAATTCTTTTATAGATAATCAAATAAGTGAGGAATTCAATACTATTAATTATAATATTATCAATGATAGTTCAGAATCTACTAATACTTCTTCTTTTCAGGATGACATGAATATTGTTGATCCTGAAACCTCTCCTCAAAGGAAATCTTCTAGAGTAAGAAGTATTCCTACCTACTTACATAATTATGATTATAGTCTCCCTGATTCTATAAAACCTACTCATCAATCATCTTGTAATCTCATTAGATATCCTATATCTAATCATATAAGTGATAATAGACTTGATCAATCTTATAAATGTTTTACTGCTAGTATTTCTCTTATTAAAGAACCTAAAACTTATAAGCAGGCTATTAAATATCCTGAATGGCAGACTGCCATGAACACTGAACTTCAAGCTCTTGAACAAAACAATACCTGGACTCTTGTTAATCTACCACCTCAACAACATACTGTTGGTTGTAAATGGGTTTATAAAACTAAACTCAAATCTGATGGCACTTTAGAAAGATATAAAGCTAGGTTAGTTGCTAAAGGCTATACTCAAGAAGAAGGATTAGATTATTTTGATACTTTCTCACCTGTTGTAAAATTAACCACTGTTAGACTTCTTCTTGCTATTGCTACTACAAAACATTGGTTTTTACAACAACTTGATATTAACAATGCTTTTTTACATGGAGATCTTTTAGAAACCATATATATGCAGCCTCCACCAGGATACTTATCTCCAGGTGATACCAGAGTATGCAAATTGCAGAAAAGTCTATATGGCCTTAAACAGGCTTCAAGACAATGGTATTACAAACTGTCAGAATGTCTCCAAGGTATTGGTTATATTCAGTCTCAGGCTGATTTTTCTCTTTTCACAAAAAGTAATGATAATTCTATAACAGTTTTACTCTTATATGTTGATGACATAATTTTAGCTGGTAATGATAAGACTGAAATTAATTATGTTAAAGATGTTTTACATAATACTTTTACTATTAAAGACCTTGGGGATCTCAAATATATTCTTGGTATTGAAGTTGCCAGATCTGAAAAAGGAATTTGTCTTTCTCAAAGAAAATACACTTTAGATATTCTTTCTGAGAATGGTTACTTAAATTGTAAACCTTACAGTACACCCATGGATTCCAAAATTAAACTTTCAAAAGAAAATGGTACTGCTTTATCTGATCCTAAAGTCTATAGAACTCTTATTGGCAAACTTTTATATCTTACTGTAACTAGACCTGATATTGCTTACAGTGTTCAAACTTTAAGTCAATTTCTTGCTAAACCTACTGACATTCATCTAAATGCTGCTCATAGAATTCTCAGATACCTCAAAAATGCTCCAGGTAAAGGACTCTTCTATTCCATTAATTCTGATCTTAAACTTTCTGGTTATAGTGATTCAGATTGGGCAGGTTGTGTTGACACTAGAAGAAGTGTTTCTGGTTATTGTTTTTATCTTGGCAATTCTCTTATTTCATGGAAATCTAAAAAACAACAAGTTGTCAGTAGATCATCTACTGAAAGTGAGTATAGGGCTGCAGCCAATGCTGTTTGTGAAGCACAATGGCTTCATTATCTTTTAAAGGACTTTAAAATACAACATCTTTTTCCTATTAATCTGCATATTGATAATCAATCTACATATTTTTTGGCTCATAATCCAGTTCAACATCAAAGAACCAAACATATAGAACTTGATTGCCACCTTCTAAGAGAAAAAATTTCTACTGGACTGATCAACCTTAAACTCATTAAAAATCATTGTCAACTTGCAGATGTATATACTAAAGCTCTGGGAAATCCACTCTTTGAAGAATTCACTGTCAAGATGAACCTGTTAGATATCCATGCTCATCTTGAGGGGGGGTATCAAGGAGTTCAAAATAATGAAAAGAAAGAGCTGAAGGACTAAATTGCAAATACTTATTTCTTATTATTTTTACTTTAATATTACATCATATAAATAGTGTAAATATAAGACCTAATAAGAATATATCGATTCTTCCTGATCTTACAATCTGTACACTTGCTATCTTTCTCTCTGAATCAAGGAAATACTCCTTTGATCTTCAATTTTCTGTAAAAGTTTACACAGTTTGAAATCCTTCATCAAATACTCTAGTTCCAATGAAATGAGTAGCAATACGCCAATAATGAGTATATATGATAGGATCTGACCAATTTTGTTGAACTGAAATATTGAATCCTACAAACATGGTAAATAATTTATTTACCAACAGCTAATTAACAAATATGGAGCATATGAAGCATTTAAATAACATGGTATACAATTTGGAAGAGTAAATATTACTCAAGTGGACATGTTTTTTGTGTTTATCCCTTCTCTTTACTACTACGCGCATATTTACTCCGTAGTACGGAGTGTGGGTTTTGGCTTAATGGGAGTTTGTCACGTTCCGGGGAGAAATCTATGGCCATAGATTGTAGATACCTAATATCATTATCATCATATCTAGAAAAAAAAGTTAACAGGGACGTGTTGTATGCTTATTTAAACCGCAAACGTTGTCTAGTCTTTTTTCTTGTTTTTTTGATGGAAGGGTCCGTGCTCGAGATGGCAATTTCGGTCGACCCATTGGATACCCGCACCGAACTGATTTAGTCAAACTGGAGAAAACCGGTTTGACTGGGGAATGGGTATGGAGTGGGGAATATCCAATTTTTTTAAATTGTTAATGGTGCGGTTATGGTTCTATACTAATCCGCCCCGGCCCGTTATCCGTCCCGAAACCACCGCGTTCACTAATGGTTCTATACATTATTAATGAATTATAACTTTTTATATATAAGAATAATAAATATATATGCTAAATTGTGTATACTAAATAGTATATATCATATAAATAATGCTAAAAAGTATACTACTTTTTAGTCCTAAAACTAAATATAGGCCTAAACCTGTTTTTTGAATTTGGATTCTGGGATAATTACTACCTTTTTATTATGTTACAAGAGATATTAGATGCATGTCATACTAATGGATTTAGGTCAGTCTACTTGATTGCTTAAATATTTACTTTTGGATGTTTTATGGTGCTTTGATTATATAAATAACAAGTAGGATTAGAAATTGGTTATTTGTTTTTCAAAAAATGGTTATTTGGTATCATTTGGGGAAACGGTTACCCTTGGATAAACCGAATCCCCGTTGGGGTGGGTACGGTTCAAATAAAAATTACCCGAACGGGTAATGGGGCAGTTTTGGGACAAACATTTATCCAACAGGGCGGTTTCGGTTTTATGTGTACCCGTCCCCGATCCGCCCCGTTGCCATGACTAGTCCGTGCTTGCGCTCCCTTAATCACGGAGTCTATTGATTATCCTCTAGATAGTTAAATTCAGATCTAATCACAGTCAGCCTTCGTTGATATCGATTCCACAAGACGAATCAAGTAGGACTTCTTTTCAACTGAATCCAGATGTCCTCCTTGCACGCGAACTCGATCCTGAATTTTCTTTCCCTCCATTCTTAGCCGTTGTGCAACTCCGTGAAGGTAGGAAGAATCATTGGGACCAAGACCTCCTGATCTTCTGTTGGTGCATAGCGGGCTTCGAACCTGAGACCTCACATATGCACCAGTAACATCACAACCAGCTGAGCTGGTAACCATATGAATATTAGGATTGTAAACAAACAATCTTAGAGTATATTTGGTATCCTTATTTTCATTTTATTAGACTTATCAATGGAACTTTTCATTAAATACGTATCTTCTGATTACACTCGCAATTGTGTAATAATTAAAGTTAAATAAGTCATGTTGAAGTTACTTACTTGACCAAGGTATAAATTAAACATGACCATTTTTCGTGTTTTTTCATATAATTTTTTTTAGTTTATGACCGGGCTAAACTTGCAAGTGTACAAGTGCCGATATAGTAATAAATTCCGGTAAAATACCGGGTCGAATCCACAGGGAAACGTTGTTTAATTTAGTCCGAGAGTAGATGACTTTAAATAAATAAATGAGTAAAGTGCAGGGATTTTGAGTTGTGTTTTATATTTTTGGCTTTTCACTTTTAATTCAAGGAAGTAACCTTGATTAATTCGAATTTGAGATAAATGATAACAACGGCTAAGGCTTCGGGAATCACTTAAATGCTTTAATAGGATTGAATATTAGTTCTTTACCAATAATTATGAATACGATGTCACTAATATATTCTCAACTCCGGTTAAGGCAGCGAGAGCGTGGTTTTCGTTACGTGTAAGTCCCGTTACGGCTTACATTCATCTACCGAAAACCCCGTTGAATATCAAGACATCACACCCGTATCATATAATACCGGATATATTTCTATTCTCGGTAATATATATGTTTATCCTTTAGTGTTCATAGTTTAGACCTCAACGTTAATTGCAAGCATAAACTAAGTTTAACATACTTCTATGTTGTACACCATAGTCATAACAATCAAAATGTAAAGGATAAATCACAATTTATTGGTTTAGAACTTTTATCAAACACCTAGTGGGCATAGAAGTTCATCCCTAGCCTTAGCTAAGAAATTAGCCTCTAATGCTCATATTAATCACAATACAATATGAAATGTAATGGAACATGAAATTACAAAGGAAATAATACCTAAACACCAATGGTTTTGGAGGTTGAAGTTTCCTCCTCAAGAACTTGAAGAAAATACCAAGAACAAAAATATAAAAGCTATGATTTAATCTATGGAATGGAATGTGTTTTCTTGATGAATTGAAGGCTTTATATAGGCTAAAGATTGGCATCTTTTAGTCCATTCGAGCCCAACAATCAGACATGGAAGAAATATTTGATCAGATCATAAGGAAAGTGGGTTTTTCCCATCAAGATCTTGCTGCACGTCTCCATGTTTTGTGCAGAATCGGGGTGGACCGGCGCCGGTTATAGGGGTGGACCGGCGCCGGTTTTGCTTCGATGCTGAATAATTGTGGAAAATGGTATAACCGGCGCCGGTTTTAGGGGTGGACCGGCGCCGGTCTTGCTTCGGTTCACTGTAATAAGACCTTTTTAAATGAAACCGGTGCCGGTTTTAGGGTGGACCGGCGCCGGTTTTCCCCTGCACTGCAATTCTTCATTTTTCGCTCCGTTTTACGCCCATGGTTGACCCCGAAGTGTCGGTTCTCGGCCCCTTTCGATTGTTGACTCTTGTGTTTTCATCTTTGACGTATTTGTGCGGTTTTTACTCAAAATGGGATTTATACCTGCTTTGTCTTTGAATATTTGTACAGATAATCATAATTACCTATATAAAATATAGGTAGCTATTGTGCTTATCAAATTCCCCCACACTTGAGCGTTGCTAGTCCTCGAGCAATGTTGTCACCTTTTGATGCCTTGGTTAGTTCAACAAAAATATATGCACAAAAATAATTATATTTTAAGAGAGGTAAAAAAAATGGTTGCAAACTCTTTTTTTTTTTTTTTTTTTCGTTCTCGGTCCAAAACCCATTTTTTCTATTACACACAAAAAATATCATTAGATTTAGAAAAATTACTTATACCCTTGAAAATTGGTAAGTGGATTGTGACTGGGGTTATTTGGGAGTGTCAAGTGGCTTTTTGGGGTGTTGATTTTTTTCAGTATAGAATTGGATCAGTTGGAGTTCTTGGAAGAGACCATGAGTTTTTTTTTTTTTTTTTTTTTTTTTTTGTAACTCATTTGAATTGGTTCTCAACAAGTATTTTCTGAAAGTCATTTTGATGATCCAAATACATTTGATGAGATATGGGGGTGGCTTGGTTTTCAAAAATGGTCCTTGAATATTTGAGATGTACTTAAACCATTTTTGAAAAGGGAAGAAGATGGTATTTCCTAGTCACGGGTTTTATTTTGGGAATGGGTTTCAAGAGTAAAAGTAGTGTAATAAATCTAAAAAAAAAATGATATTTTTATGTGAATAATAAAAAAAAAACTTTCTCAACCAAATACCCATTAAAAAGAGAAATAACATAATTTTTACCTTCCTAAAAAAAAAATATTTTTGCACACAAAGGTTGTTTAACTAACCATGAAATGCACCCCCCCACACTTAGAATACATTGTCTCAATGTATCATGCATGATAAACAAAATACTTTCAACATCCACAATAAAATGTGTTTGAGAAAAGCAATGTCATAAAATCAACAACGCCGTTATTAATTTTCTGGGTCTTGAGGGGGGTACCCATGTTGGGAGTAGTAGTAGTCGGCGAATTTGTCGAACCGCTCCTCGAACCTCTGTTGTCTCTCCTCTTGCGTGTCTAGCCGCGTATGCATGCGGGCCATGGAGTGCATCAAGTAGGCCATCGCGGGGTCGGTAGTGTGTGGCGGTTGTGGAGGCACCGATGGTTCGGGTGCGGCTCCATCGTCATGAGCATCCTCCATGGCTTCTTCTCCATGTACCTCTTCCGCTCTCCTTGCTTCCTCCTCATCATGTAAGTTAGCAAAAAATCGTCCGGGGAACGTCCACTCTCCATCCGATAGTTTATGTTGAAGGGCATTCATGGTGGTATTGTCCAAAATGTTGGAGTCATCCGTGTAGATGACTTCTTCTCCCCTTAAATCCACCTTATAATGTTTGAATACCAAGGTGAGTAAAAGAGGAAAGCAAAAGTTTTTGTCACCTCTTTTGGAGAGCACCACGGTCTTCATATCTTTGATAATGAGGTGGGGGAGAGATATTTTTGGAGTTTCTCCCAACCCCTCTACCATTTTAGAGAGAAGGTAGAGGTCTATTTTTCGGATGACATGACGGTCACTTGCTCGGGGGACAAGGTTGAATCCAATGAGGTAAATGATGAGTCGCTCACGGATGTCCAAATATTTAGTGAAGAGCTTTGGGAGTTCATACCTTTCCATTGTTCGAACTTCATCATAAGTCTTGTCACTGGAGATCCCTTTAACGGTGAATTCCAAAGTTGTGCCGTCATCGGGGACCTTGAGGAGGCGGGAGAGAAAACTTGGATCAATTTTTATGTTCTTGCCTTTGACAAATGAGTGAATGACGGCATACCCAGTTTGTTTGTCCGTGATGTTGGCGTAGAACTCACGAACCAGTTGGGGGTAGTATGCCCCTGTTAGGGTAAGCATCACAGCCCACCCTAGCTCCATGAATGCCTCCGTTAGTTCAAAAGTGGCGTCGATGATTGGGTCAACTGTTTTCTCCACCACCATTCCCCATTTTTTTCTTGTATCGTACCACTCTTCATTTTCATGAGAGGTGAAACGGG